TATAGTGATGTACACGTCAATTGACTGTCTAATATCAATTAAAAATTAATAATTTAGGGGATCTTTGATCAGATTTTTACGTTTTAGTGATCAAAAAAAAGGTCCAATAATCAAAATTAGCGCTAACGTTTAAAAAACTGTTTAAACCGTTTTTTTACCATCCTTAATTTCAAGATCAGGTTGATCATAAGTCAAAACCATACAATATTTTGAGGGTCAAAATTTAACTTGTATGCATCACTCATATATATAAAGATCAGATAATTATGCGTGATCTCTATAAAAGGTACCGTGTATAAGAACCCAATATGATTACACTAGAATGCCGGTGAATTATTTTGCATTTATTTGGAAATTATCAGTGGAAAATTTACTAGCATATGTTTTTTATAATTATTATAAGGTTTACAAATTTTATGCTAAAATTAAACTTTATAATCAAAGCTATAGCCTATGTTTAAAATATCAAATGTGTCTAATAAAATATCTATATCTATTATAGTATTATAATATTTTGATATTGTCTGTCGTTTGTCCGTCTTACATATTTATCAATTTATCATTTAGCTGTAACACGATTTCCTCTGCCATATTTTGGTCGCACACTTTATACGCCCATGTCATATTTTTGTTGCGTTGCTCATTAATTTTTAATCCTGTCTACTATTAATTGGCCTGAGTCAATTCTTAACGGTAATGCAAAAACATGAGACTTAAGACCAATACTGAATTGATTTTAACGACAAAATACGAGAAATCTAATTCAAGCATTCTTTAATCCGCACACCCTCTCTAAACGCATACTCAAATTTCAGCCCAAATATATACCTAACCTTCATAAATACACTTTTCTTATCGTTCTCTAGGTGCACATTGTTAAAGCTTCCTCCACCAGACCTAGCGGATACATCCGGAAATCAGTTAGATCAAAAAAAAAATCGGGTATATATGATAAGGAACAAAAACTTCACATGGATTTATTTCTAAGTGATAATCTTATGCTTCATCAATTATCATAAGTTTCGTTATTCGTCATAGTTTTCGTTTTCATCAATTCATTCAAAAATAGTTTAACTAAAGGTTTGTTTAGCCAACGACGCATTTGAATTGTGCCATCCAACACGTTGAATTTTTTTAACATTGTTATGCATTATTGATATTGTTACGTGTTATTTTTCAGCTACTAACCACTTTTCAATGATTTCAAAGAAAAATCGTATTTTTTTTTATTTTTAAAAAGATAGGGTGCTTTTCCGCAGTAATTTTTATTGAATTAACTGTATAATTATGGTTACAATGAGGGGTTTCAGAATTAAAATGCAGGAATCTAATTTTGATAAAAATAGATGACGTATTTATTATCAAATAAGCGATGTATCAATCTTATTTATTTTCTAATTAAAATCCGACTATACTTATTTATATGTTTTTTGATTAATTGTCATATCTATATTGTTATTACTTCCTAATATCTTTTACACTTGGTATGCCTAAAATTTCATATCGGCAACGTCAAATTAAAAATATAAATAATCTTTTAAAAACACTTATAAATGAATATTCAACTTGCACGAATAAGTCTATTACTAATGCTCTGGATAAAGAAATTGACAAATTATTAGAATTAATGCAAGCTATAGAATTGGATCGATATCTAATTTTGCGTGAAAGAACAATTAAATCTAATGATTTTTTTCAAGTACTTTTGCTTAATTATAATGATTATAATTTTAAGCAAATTACTAGAGTTAGTAAAGAGACATTCTGGCACATAGAAAGCCTCATTCGCAATAATCCAGTTTTTTAAAGAAATCTAAACATTCTCAAAGACCAGTTTGGTAACAATTAGCAGTAACATTAGAATGATTAGGTTGTAATAGAAATGGTGCCTCTGTAGGATGATTTGCTAGACAATGGGGTTTAGGAATTGGTACTGTAGTTGAGTATACAAAGTGTATAGTAACAGCAATTAATTCAATTGGAAATACTTATGTACAATGGCCTGATTCTATCGAACAGCAACAAATTAGTAGCAGAATAGAACAATTATCAGGATTCAAAAGTTGCATTGGATTTTTAGATAGAACTGATATTGTACTTGAATACAAGCTATTTAAAGATAGTGAAATTTACTATAATAGAAAAAATGATATGCTTTAACTATACAATTAGTTTGTGATAATTTAAAATTTATTTGATTTGCAAACTTTGGGTAGCCAGGATCTGTTACAGATTCAACTGCCTATAAATCTACTCCACTTTATCAAGATCTGGATAAATTTTTTAGTAAATATGAATATTTATTAGCAGATTGTGGTTATCAGCTTACTCTAACTACAATAATTCCTTATAAGCAACTACAAGCTAATATTTATAGGAATACAGTTTTTAATGAAATGCTTGCTAAAGAACATGTATGAATTGAACATGTTAATAAAATTTGGAAAGGAAGATTTGGGTGTTTAAATAGAATAAGAACACAAATATTATTTAAAAAACATTTAAAATTTGTTTTAGATATAATTAAAGCAACAATTATTCTTTATAATTTAGTGTTAAAAAATAATGATATTTAGAAAGAAAATATTAATGAAATTAATTCAGATTCAATGACTGCAGATAATATATTAGATAGTAATTTGAATAAAGAAGGTAAAAAAATACATAAATATGTACAAAATCTAGTTCTTCAAAAAAATAATTTATAATTATTACAAAATATATAGTTTAAACGATGCTTTTTTTATATATATTATTATTATATTATTATATAATTATTTTTATATTATTTACTTAATACAGTATATTACATTAATTGGTGATTCGCCAGTCACCTGGTGTATGATCATAGTGTAACATGATGCAGATCACTATATAAATCACATATACCCTGAATGTGGCGATTGCCCAAGGAAAACTTTTTTGTACTAAGTTAATCGCTCTTCTGTATTAAGTCAAAATTGTAGAGCTCGTCGAGACGCATCTAATAGTGGTTAGATCATCTAAATTGGCCCAGCCAATAGCGAGATATCGTCAAAAAACGATTGGCCGACTATATAAAATTTTTATATAAATACTACATAGTCAGCCAATTGTTTTTTGATGATATCTCGCTATTAGCTTGGTCGATTTGGATGATCTAACCACTGTTAGATGCATCTCGACGAGCTCTACAATTTTGACTTAATACAGAAGAGTGATTAACTTAGTACAAAAAAAGTTTTTTTTGGGCAAATACCACATTTAGGATATATGTGATTTACATAGTGATTTGTATCACATTACACTATGATCATGCACCATGTGACTGGTGAATCACCAATTAAATATATAAAAATATCACTTATATAATAATTAATTAAATTATAAATTACTATATATATTATTAAATGTATAAAAAAATTTTTTTTTAGTATTAAGGTAAAGCCTTGCTCATATCTTTATTAATAGTTTTTATCATAGTAACTACAAAGAGTTGCTAACCTTAATATATAAAATATAAAAAGTAAAAACTACATGCAAGAATAAAAGCTCAGACTACTTTATCCGTGACCTAAACCTACTAGAGTAGTCAAAAACTTACCTAGATTTTTTTAAGAAAGAAAAAATAAAATGTAGAGTAAATAGAGTATTTAATTAAATGAATTTAAAAGTAAGGCTAAGTTATAAGATTTGTGTATTTAATAGTATGAAGTTATAGAGTATAAAAAGAAATACTAGGCTATATTTAGTATGTAAAATTATAAAGTATATGAAAGATAAAAGAGTGAGAGTGTGGTGACTTAGTGAAGTGGTTAAGTTGTTGCACCCCAAGCAACTTGTTGGCTAGGTAGGGGGTTCAAAACCCACTGGCAATGAATTTTGAAATATTCTACCTGTATGACATTACTGCCATCCATTGAAGGTTAGAACGAGATCTCTGTAACTCTGGTAGCACTGACAGGATTGGGAGATCATAGTGCATTCGTGTGATATACGAGTTATATGAATAAGCTTCCGGATCATTGTAAACCCAGAAAACTAGAAAGGATAATAGAACACGCTTGGAAAGACCTGAGTAGAAAGGTAGCACAGATCTTTGACAGTGCTACCGAAGGATCATTATCAGGAGAACTAGCAAAAATGAACAAGACCAAAGTATTTGGCAAGATACTTCACCAACCAGACCGCCAGAGGAGTAACCGGAGGAAAAGTACCCAACTGTGGGGACCAGAGGCAAGTCACTGCCCTTCTGGGCCATTTGGATTGGTAGTTTGGGATTGTTGGGATTAAAACCGGTGATTGTCTGTAAAGTGTATACCGGGTTTGGGTAAACTTTGCAAGGGTAATGGTAATGGTAGGGTTTAAATAGGAGATCTACAAGCAAATCTTAGGTATGGCAATTGGTGGGTAACTATAGATAGAAATAGATATAGCAAAACCTTTAAATAGGCAATAACTAAAGTTGTATGTGTGACCAATTGTTCTCTTGTTAGTGTAACAAAGTCAGGTGAGGTTTATTTGACCGAGCTAGAGCTTGATCCAGATTGCAAATAAAATGTGCCAGACCTCTAAGTGGTCACTTTAACATTAAAAAAAAAAAATAATAAAAGAGTATATAGGGATATATAGTTAGAATATTAAAGTATAAAGTATAAAGTAAGTTTTAAATTAGAAAGAGGCTTTCATCAATGTTAGAGATTGTAAATTTCGTAGTAGATTTGTTAGAATAATGTTGTTACTGTTTATTAGTTTTAGAAGTTTTAGATTTTATAGTAGAACTGATCAGTTGTTGTTATTGTTGTTGTTGTACTTGTTGTTTTTGTTGTTGTAGTGGTTGTCATTGTTGAGTATTAGGATTTGTGGCTTATATGATATATTAGGAATAGAGATCTTGAACTTTTTGATTATATATTGATTTGCTTGGTCAAGGTATGATTTCTTG